ACATTTAAACCTTAAATTCTGAACCTAATCGTTTGGATGAGTTAATTGTCAATGTGGTATTGTAGAGTCAAATAACTCATTTATTTTTCATGTGGTATTATTTCAGTGTTATTTCAGTGATAATTGAAATAAAGTATCTCGTTTGGTTGAACCATGCAAATGTAGTATTTGACATGTGGGATTTGGTCAAAGCAGAGTGATAAAAACGAGTTATTTCGAAATAACACATGGGTATGAGTTATTTCAAATAACTCGTTTTGAGTTATTTGTAAATAACTCACTGTCCAAATAACTCATTTCAGTAAAACGCTGCCAAACGGGTTATGAGTTATTTACTCCATCCAAACGACCCCTCATTTCAGTAAACGCTGCCAAACGAGTTATGTGTGTGTCCAAATAACTCATACAAATACTCCATCCAAACAACCCCAAAGTTACGATCCCTAAATTCTAAACTGTATACCCTATCCTAAACCCGTAAATCCTATAAAAGCCTCAAATCATAGTAAATCTTCAATGATTGTTTTGCTAGTTTGTGCAATTTCTTCCCTATCATATCACAAGCTGGTGATGGACATCATCTCAACATCAATCGCTTGCTCAGAATGATAATACACTCAATAAAAAAAAAAGTGAATGCACCAAAAAGCAACCCGAAAATGCAAATAAACTAATACTAATGTAATTCACTTCTACGAACTTATGCACCCACCCAGTGTACTTTACACTATAGTTTCCCCTAAACCGGAGGCAAAACATTAGGTCGGGAAAAGGTTCTTGCTTCCAACAATAGAACTATCCGTGGCTTCGATTTCAATCTATTGGTATAGCGTGTGGCTAGCTTTTTCATCGCATCATAATAAATAATCTTTTCATCACATCATAAGCCTCCCCTTTGATCATCATGCATGTGGACATAAGTAACAGAACTTATTCTTCGAAACAACAAAATTAACGATGGACCAAAAAAGAAACCGAATGAAACGTAACATCGAACGATCGTCACTACACACTACTACTACTATTTAAACTGCCGAGATTTCCAGAAGAAACTATTATCATATCCTTGAACCACTACTTCCTCAGGTGTGGTGCAAAATTTTAACGTTTTGTTTCGATTTGCTTTTCCTTAAAACCTGTCTTTTTAGTTTTTATTAACGGTGTAGAGTTTTTCATGCAACGGCAAGCAGGGGGAAAAGTGCGTGCGTGCGTGCATGGCGGCAATAACACTGGCGATGAGGCGTCATTTCAGTGTTACTAGCAGCAGGACGTTTGTGGGGAAGTGGAGGAGGAGCGGCGGCGGCGGCGGGGTTGCGAAGGAGGAGGAATCGAGGGCGGCGGCGGCGGCGGCGGGTTGGTGGGTGCCGGATCCTCGGACGGGGATATATTTCCCTCGAGGGCAGGAGTGGGTGATGGAGGACGTGCCGGAGGACGCCGCCAGCCTGGGGCGGAGCTTTTGGCTGCGGAGCGTCGACGGAGTGGAAAAACCCGACCCGGATCATGCGGACGCTAACCTCTCCGCCGCCACTTGATTTTACTGTACATGTGCTAATAATAATTAAGGGTATCCGAACGATCGAGTAGTGATAAGCATGTCTCTACACATGAATCATCAGGCTGAATAAAGCTTCCTATTAGAGGTGGCAATTAGGATCCAAATCCATGAATCCAATCCAATCCATCCACCAAATTATCCACCTAATCCAATCCATTTAAATCCAATCCATTTGATCCAAATCCAATTGGATTGGTGGATTCATGGATCAATCCATGGATCCAAATGGCAAATTACGATTTGGTACCTATATTTTTTATATTTTACATTTTGGTACCTAAAATTTATATTTTTATACGAAAATATCATTGGAAAATTACATTTTGGTACCTAAAATTTTTCATTATGACATTTTAGTACCTAAACTTTTCAAAATTTACATTTTGGACCAAGCCTTGGATGTTATTTGGATTTATGGATCAATCCACCAATCCATTGGATCCAATCCATGAATCCATCAATCCATTGGATCCAATCCATTTGATTCATGGATCCACGAATCCAATCCACGGATCCACGAATCCGATCCAATTGCCACCTCTACTTCCTATACATAATTTTAAGCAAAGTTATTTATTTTTATGAGCAAGCAATTTAATGTCATCAATACATCGTATTATAGCTAGGACATAGGTGAGCAGGGATAGCAATTTTGACCTGACCCAATTTTTCCCAACCTGTTTGGCCTGTTTTAGCGCGGGGCGGGGCGGGACGGGTATGAGTACCTCTGATGGACCCGACCTGCTTTGACCCGCCCTATTCTCGACCCGTTCTTGGCTAAATTACATATAATAAGATTGTCCTCTTATTATATTATATTTTAGCTAATAATAAAGTTGCAATTAAGTGAAAACCTCAATTTCTTCAATAATTTAACTGGATTTTATCATATTATGGTTTCTTTCTTGGTCTTTTAATGAAAATAACGAATATTTTTAATGTTTTTCACATAAATTGCATACCCATTGGGTCGACCTGCCCTGACCCGCGCCCCGTGATAAATTACCCGACCTGCCATGGGACGGGTATGTGCATCTAGATACCCGCCCCGTAATAAATGAGGTTGTGCAGTTGGAATTGTGTAATTCTCACTGCTTGTGTGCGAATGTCACCCCCCTGACCTTGAGTTTTGCACTCAACCCGTGACCTTTGCACATACTCTACTTTTTGGATCGTTTTGACCTCCAAATGCCCCAGAATCGCTCCTAAGCTTCCCTCACGTACTAGGACCTGAAATATGATTAAAAAAACACAACCTAACGCAAAAGATTCCAAGGAACGAGTATTCAAAGCAAATCAATCAACAAATGAGGGTCTAAGCATATATAATTAAGCCCGAATCAAACTCATCCACACTTAACTGTTTGCTTGTCCTCGAGCAAACCTAACTCAAACTAGTACAACTTGATAGACCCTCGCAATGGTATGCAATCTTGATCATCAGTAGCGGGACAACTAGCTAATTACGAGGTCAACCAGAGACAATAAATTTTCCAACCCCCTCGATCTGAAGCACAAACTCAAGTCTGGACCTTGTTGACTAGTGGAGTCGAGACACAAGGCATGTTTATGAAGGGACTCCCAAAAACATTTGAAATCCATAGACTCGATTGGTGGTGTTCCTACTTCAAAGAGCTCAAACTTTAAAACCTCAACTTAACATTGTTGCTTACGGCATCAAAACCACAGCTTCGCAAAACAAGGGCTCTATCTCGTGGTTAGAGCGGAAACGCCATCCACTTCCCTATCTAGCCATGTGGAAAAAGAGGTGTAAAGTTAGGATTGAAGGTAGTATAGGAGAAGGTATGGATGCAAAAAGATCCTAAACTTACTTTACTTAAAGCATTTCCTAAAGCACACTCATATCCCTATGCTCGATCTATAGCGATCAACCTAAGTTAATGACGGGTTTTCACACATGTGAGATAAAAAAAAGAGCCAATGTATCTCGGTTTTTTAGCAGAAGCAACGGTCTCTTCTCTATCAAGACTCGTGAGAAGGAGAGGTGTAATGGAGGATGAAGAGTAGCAGGTGAAGGTTCGGAAGCAATATCTTTGTCTCCCTTATACGCATCCTCAAAGCTCAAACCGATTTCAGATAAATCGTTCCACGGGTTCATTAAGCACTATGCCCAGTTGCCAAAATACACGAGAGACTCTTTTTCACATTTAAAGCACATTAAAAAATAGAGCACCTTTCAAAAAAAAAAAAACTTTTCAAGTCCACAAGGATAACGAGTCCAACACAAATCTCCTAAACTCACTAATCAACAATATCAACCAACAAAAAGATGAGACGGAGATAGATTTCTCATAGTCAAATTAACATTCTCCATAGTGCTGCACTATACTTCCTGAAAGCGCAACATAATTATTGTTGTGAATGTAGGAAAATTACTAGTTAATCTTAACATGGCTTCACTCTTATAACTTCCGCTCTGAAGTCTGAACTCACTGCCCAATCCTAACAAATTCTCACTGCTCAGAAGTTTCTTTCTTCGATGCATGCGGTTTACTTTACGTCTCTGAATTATTGAGCTGCACATTGGTCCAGCCCAACTTCAATTATTGAAACGAACGAGAGGTGGTGTATAGATTTAGTAAAAGTTTATTTGTTCAAAAAATTTTTTTTTTATCGTTCGGTCAATTTTCTCTCTATTTTTAGAAAAATGAAAATCGTGCCCACCCGACGAACCTGAATTCCTCAATTCTCTTATTGCCATCCACAATTATTGCTTACGCTTCCTTCCAACAGATTATACACCACACGAAAACAGAGAAACAGTCCAAATAGTTCTGGCTGGCTGTACTTACTGCCAAACTCAACCAATTTCCCACCACTCAAAATTTTCTCGTGTGCTGTTGTACTTCCGTCACTCATTGATGATATATCGACAATAATCAGCCTCTCTCTCTTTTCGATTTGATGCGACTAGAAATGACAATTGAACTCCGACTCATAGATTTTCCTTGCTTTGAAAATCGACGGGTTGGAAGTGTGCTTAGATTTTATCAAAATTCAATCCGCGTTACACCCGACCCGCAACCAAACACAGAAGCGACTTAATTTTGTATCTAACATAAAAAAAATAGATAATTCATGAATGTTATTAATTTTTATACAGATTGCGATTGAAATAATTTTAAGTTATGTTCGTGAAAGCATTAACACCCCGTTTGGTTGGGTTGGGTTGGATTTGCTCTTCTTAAAGTCATTGCGCATATTTTACCGAGTTTATTAACGAGTGCACCAGTTAAATTGAGCTGGAATTTAAAAAAAAATCCGACCCAATTAACCTGACTCATTGCCATTCCTACATGTGAGTCGTGTCGCGCATGCATTCATCCCGGCCTATAAATACACATCACCAAAAACCTTTCATCCCATCCGCATTCTAATCAAACTAAACCGAAAATCCATACAAATCCTCACACCCAAAAAAAAAATGGCGAAAACGTTCAGCTTGGCGTCGGACAAGCAATTCATCCACACCGCCACCAAAGACGAGAAGACCAGCGCCGGCAAAATCGTGGCCCTCTACGTCTCCGAGTACAAGGGCGACCCAAACGGGTTCGACATCACCCGAGCCGGCGACGACGGCTGGGTCGGCCAGTTGGCCCGGGTGAGCAACGACCCGGACCAGCTGCGCCAGGGCCTGGCCACCCACGAGGCGCTCGAGGTTAACGGCGTCACGATTCGGGGCGAGCGGCTGACGGAGCTTTTCGACGACCTGGCGGCGGAGAGGGAGGCGGACAGGGGGAAGAAGAGCTACCTGATGGCCAACCGCCAGTGTGAAATTTAGCGAAAGATATGAACACTCGATTTAACGTGGTTCTTCCTCACGTTGTGTGAGGCTTACATCCACGGTGGAAAGATGATACTTTTATTTCATATGGTGGCCATAGGCCTTACATGTATATTTATACCCTAATGCATCAATCTCTTCTAGGGTACAAGTCGGTTTGCAACTACGTGCAGGAGAAGAACAAGGTTTGGTGGCTGCACTACGTGCGTCTCAAGGACGCCTGCATGGGCCGCATGGCCTGTCCTGGGCTCGCCAGTCTTCTGGCCCAATACTCCCCCGCAAGGTGAGGCGTGGAGATCTCGAACGCTCAGCTTGGAAAGAAGGAAGTGAAAGCGATCCGCACCAAGACCCTTGGTGAGAATGTCGGCAAGCTGGTACTCTGTTCGAACCTTGACAGGAAGAATATCACCGGACTGTACGCGTTCACGAACAAAATGGCAATCCATTTCCACATGTTTGGTGCGCTCGTGGAAAACGGGATTATTGGCGATGTGTAGAGCAGCCTGATTATCACAATGAAGAGGAGTAGGCGTGGACTGCGGGACGCCGAGCTCTTGAAGTAGCCAGCGTAACCAAATGAGTTCACTAACAGTACTAGCCATTGCCCGATATTCAGCCTCGGCGGAAGAACGGGCTACAACCCTTTGTTTCTTCGTTCGCCAGGAAATGGGGGCACCTCCCAAACTAACAAAATAGCCTGTAGTAGAACGACGAGTCTGTTCACAACCACCCCAGTCAGCATCACAATAAGCAGTAAGACGGAGGGGATTATCCCTCGGAAAAAACAAGCCCTGTCCTGGAGAGGATTTGAGATAGCGCAGAATGCGGAAGACTGCATCAAGGTGCTGCTGGGTAGGAGCATGAACAAACTGACTCAACAGGTTGACAGCATAAGTGATATCCGGGCGAGTAATCGTCAAATAAAGCAGACGACCCACGAGGCGACGGTAGACGGACGGATCAGGAAGGGGAGCAGTACTCACACGAGTTAAGTGATGATTCTGCTCGATAGGAAATGCACTAGGACGTGTACCCTGAACACCTGCATCTTCAAGGGTGTCCAGTACATATTTACGTTGACTGAGCACCACCCCGCTAGCAATACGCGCTAGCTCAATACCCAAGAAATAACGAAGTTGGCCAAGATCCTTAATGCTGAACCTGTCGTGGAGGAATGTCTTGACTCGATCGATAAAGACTAAGTCATTACCCGCTAGAATAACATCATCGACATAGATTAGGGCAGTGACAAAGGTGTGTCCATGCCGATAGATGAATAGCGAGGCATCAGCAGCTGAAGACCGGAAACCAAATTCACAAAGTGCTGAGGTGAATTTCTGGTACCAGTTGCGGGAGGCCTGACGAAGTCCATAGATAGATTTGTGTAACCGACAAACCCGTGTATCACCAGGCTTGCGAAAACCCTCAGGAATTTCCATGTAAACTTCCTCCTGAAGATCACCGTGAAGGAAGGCGTTATTGACATCCAGCTGATGAAGATGCCAGCCCTTACTAACTGCCACGGCGATAAGGCATCGAACTGTGACCAGCTTCGCTACAGGAGCAAAAGTATCATGGAAGTCAAGGCCTTCAATCTGGGTGTAACCTTTGGCGACAAGTCGCGCCTTGTATCGTTCTATGGTCCCGTCAGGAAAGAACTTAATTTTGTAGACCCATTTCGAGGCAATAGCGCGCTTCCCAGGGGGAAGGAAAACGAGGCTCCAAGTCCCATTTTGCTCGAGGGCAGCAACCTCACGAGCCATAGCTTCCCGCCAGCAGGCTTCTCGGACTGCTTGATAGAAATAGCGGGGCTCGTCAAAGCGGGTTTGAGCTGCAAGAAACGAGCGATAGGGACCTTTAAAACGTGAATAATCAACAAAAGCAGCAAGAGGATAATTGACAGGGTGAGAGACACTTCCCTGTGCATTATTTGATGTGAACTGAGTGTCATAAGTCGCCAGATGCTTTGGGCGAAACCGTTCACGATCGCCGCGTCGCAAAACTGGAGCTGGACTTGCGGCAGCTGGACTTGGATGTGGGCCTGTCGTGGAGTGAAGAGGCCCAGAAGTATCGGTTCCGTCGCTGGTAGAGGAGGACGGCCCAGGGGACGCGAGAGTGGGTCCTGGTGTCCTGGGCTCGGAAGTGGACCCAGAATCCGCAGCAGCAGCCGGCCCATTAGGCGAAGCAGACTCAGGCGGCCCAGAATCCACAGTCGCAGGAGGCCTGTTAGGCGAGTTAGGCTCGGGCGATCCAGGAGGGACTTCAGCGTCACCATGGAGAGGAGAATCAGAAGCAGTGTCATCATGAGGTGAGATCGCTGGTCTGGGTATCCAGTGAAGCTCATGACGAGTATCATCCTGCATGGGAAATAAATTCTCGTGGAATTGAACATCACGAGAAGTAATTAATCGTCGAGATAATAAATCGAAAATGCGATAACCCTTCTGCGAAGCTGCATAACCCAAGAAAACGCCAGCACGACCACGATCCGCAAATTTATCGAGATGAGCATGAGTGTCTTTGTAGTACACCAAACATCCGAAAACTCGCAGATGATGATAAGGAGCAACCTTGCCGAAAAGTAACTCATGTGGACTTTTGCCGGTGGCTTTAGTTGGAAGCCTGTTGATGAGGTACACAGCTGTGAGAACACATTCTCCCCAGAATTTGATAGGTAAGCTGGCTTGAAATCTCAGTGCTCGAGCCGTCTCCAGGATGTGACGGTGTTTCCTTTCGACTACACCGTTCTGCTGAGGAGTGTCTGTGCAGGACGTTTGTAGTAAAATGCCTTCATGAGCATAAAAGGCCTTCAAATCATCTGTGTTGAACTCATGTCCATTGTCAGCCTGAATGCGTTTAACAGAACATCCAAACTGCGTACGAATCATGTGACAAAATTGCATCAAAGATTTACCAACGTCAGACTTATATCTCAATAGATAAACCCAAACTCCACGTGTGAAATCATCAACGATAGTCAAAAAATAATGGGCTCCACTAAGAGATGCAACCTTATATCCTCCCCAAATATCAACATGAATAAGTTCAAACTTGGACCTTGTCTTAATCGAGCTAGAAACAAAAGGTTCTCGTGTCTGTTTGGCCCTCAAACAAGAATGACAGGGTCCTTTATTACTGAAAGATACACCCAACAATGAACTGAGATATGTAAGCTTATCAAAAGAGGGATGCCCCAGTCGAGCATGCCACGTAGTCTCGGATACTGCAAGTCGTCGCTGTGCTGCACAAGCCTGCGTCCGTCCATCTCCGAATAAACGCAAGTAGTACAAGCCATTGCGCAACTCACCCTTCCCAATCAACTTCCTGGAATGTAAGTCCTGAATGATGCAGAAATTTTCAAGAAAAATCAAAGCCACACGATTATCCTTGGTTAGTCGACTCACAGAGATGAGATTACATCGAAACTCAGGCACATGTAGTACACGGTCCAGGGTAAGACCATCCTGGAGCTTTACTGAACCCACATGCTTAACCGGTATGCTATCCCCATTTGGGATTCGAACAGGCTGCCCATTAGTATGTAATTCCTTGCTAGACAACATTGATTCATCCATAGTGATATGCTCATTGCAGCCAGAATCCAATAACCACTCAGAATCATAAGAAATCATACCTGCCATATGAGCTGCCGGGTCTTCTGATGGCTTTCCCGAATAGCCGAAAAATTGCTTGAGTTGTTCAAGCTGTGCGTTGGTGAAACCAGTAACTGGGCTTTGCTCCGAGTCCACTTGTGAAGCCTTGGGCTCACGTTGAGAGCCTTCCCGGTCCTGTCGATTTCGTCGCTGTTGAGGACGATCGCCTTGTCTTTCCCGTGTGCGATAGCCGGGGGGATAACCAACAAGCTCATAGCAAGCTTCGCGCGCATGGCCTTGACGATGACAGTGAGTACACCTTGGCCTCTCGCGCTCTCGTTGCTCCCCCGTACCGCGCGACTCTCCTGACCCACGCGAGGAACGATCGGCGTCGCCTTTGGCAGCAAAAACGGCAGCTTCAGGCGATGATTTGCGGTTTTGAGTAATAGTTTTCTGTTGCTCTTCATTCAGTACAATATGAAAAGCTTCAGCCAGCGTCGGGGTCGGCTTCATGGCCAAAATCTGGGTGCGAACCGCACCGAATGCATCGTCGAGGCCCATGAGGAAATCAAACAGGCGAGCACTCTCCTGTTGTTCGCGAGCCTTGCGAGATACACCACAGGTACACAGGCCACAGGTGCACACCGGCGGTGGAGTTATGGCCGCTGCCTCTTCCCAGAACGATCGTAAACTGGTGTAGAAGGCTGAAACGGTGTGCTTTTCTTGCTGAAGTAAACTGATCAAGCGCCGCAATTCGTAGGCACGGGAGGAGCTGCCTTGACCGAAGCGAGCGCGAAGATCCGTCCAAATCTCCGTGGCGTGCTCAGCGAAGCGGATACTGCTTCGAATTTCCTTATCCATGGATGTCTTCAACCATCCCTTCACCATTGCGTCGCAGCGTACCCAAGCTGCCTGCGCCTTAGGATCCGTTGGTTTGGGAATAGTGCCGTCAACGAACCCGTACTTATCTTTTGCAATAAGAGCATCCTTCATATCAAGGGACCATTCCCCATAATTGGATGCAGTAAGAACCTCCCCAACAAGCATGTTGCCGGGGCTATCGGAGCTGTGCAGCTGAAGAACCGACGGAAGGACGTCGTCGGTGGAGCTGGAAGAGACTCCCTTTTGCTTGTTGTCCTCGTCGCCGATAGTCATGGCGGCAAGATACTGTAAGACAAAAAACTGGAGCTTAGAGCTCTGATACCATGTGAAATTTAGCGAAAGATATGAACACTCGATTTAACGTGGTTCTTCCTCACGTTGTGTGAGGCTTACATCCACGGTGGAAAGATGATACTTTTATTTCATATGGTGGCCATAGGCCTTACATGTATATTTATACCCTAATGCATCAATCTCTTCTAGGGTACAAGTCGGTTTGCAACTACGTGCAGGAGAAGAACAAGGTTTGGTGGCTGCACTACGTGCGTCTCAAGGACGCCTGCATGGGCCGCATGGCCTGTCCTGGGCTCGCCAGTCTTCTGGCCCAATAGCCAGGGGCTCTGTCTGGTCAACGTCGGCGGGGCGACGGTGAAGAAGGTGAGGGTGAATGATTACTTTGGGTGGTCGAAGTACGGGGTCAAACCGGCGGCGGGGGAGTGGAAGAGGGTCGACATGGCCAATGGGCAGGAGACAGGTGGCGGAGACGACGGGTGGAAGTGGCCGTGGCCGTGGCAGTGAGATGGCGGCAGGCATGTCCGTGCTTGGAAAGAAGTGGTCGGTGGAAATAAGTCGGCGGCCGGCCGGCAATGTTCGTTATTTTCTGGCTTGTACGTTTTTTAATTTTTCCTAATTAAAAAAAAACTACTGATGAGAAGCACGTGGTAATTAACGCGCGCAACCACATTAGTTACGTTCTGGCTTGTAGTTTTTGGTAATCTTTTTTCCCCAACAATAAAAATGATGAATCTCTCATCCTTCCCTAAACGCAAGTTCTACGTTTTGGTTTTTCCGCCACTCGTGAAAGTTGAAACATGTTGAGACGTACGTGGGTGAAGAGTTCTTGAAGAAAAGAAATCAAGAGTGAAGTGAGAAGGTTTCCCCGTGAAGATTTCCTTCTCCAATTTCATATTTCTGATCTTTCCATATGATTAGTTAAATTTTCAATCCAATCCATCAATTCAATCCACCAACCCATGGATCCAATCCATTTGTCACCTCTAAGTAAGATGAATCATAACTTTAGGGGTGGTAATCGGTAAACCGGTATTCGGTATTACCGGATACCGTACCGGATACCGACGGTATCGGTATTCGATGGTGTTATTTGGCATAACGGTATACCGGATAATACCCGGTAATATACCGACGGCAATCCGGTATACCGGAACACCGAATAGCATATATAAAAGTGTTGATTTTGGGATTTTTTTTTTTTTGACAAAAGATAATCATATATTGATTGAGAAAATAGATACGGTTACATCCTGGATAACAGCCAGGTCTGGAAATTAAACCCGCGACACATAGACGGGGACAATGAAAGGGCCTTTCTAGCCACCTCATGGGCTACCCTATTGTTTCTCCGTCCTATAAATCGCAAACTAAACCCCGGCTGATGTCCCATATAATGCTTGATTTCGCCCAGAATCACCCCAACCCTGCTATCATTAGTTTCCCCAAGATTGACTTTATCAATGATGATCTTGGTATCGCCCTCAAAACGCACATCTTGAATCCCGTTAGCCAGACACCAAAGGAGAGCCTCTCTGAGGACAAGCGCCTCCACCACTAGAGGGTCATCAATAACATCATACTGCACCCCTTTCGCTCGGAGGATCACCCTGTGAGGATCAAGAAGCACCATCCCGCCCGCAGAGTGGGACCCGGCTCTTGTAGCCCCATCCCAACGACACACCAGCGAAGTCTCTCCCAGCCTCCCTGGCATAAGGCCAGCAGGCTTAGGGAGCACCGACGGTCTATCTGCCGGAACCTGGGCCCACTCCTCACACTGTTGATGAATCTGCCTCATCAAGGCCGGGAACCCAAACTGCTTGCCTTCAAAAACCACCCAATTCCGAGACTTCCAAATCCGCCAAAGCACTGCCACCACGGACATGACCAAGCTCGGTTGATGGATTAAGGCAAACAGCTGCTTCAGGAACAAAGGGAAAGTGTGGCGAGGCAAGCCTTGGCCAAGATATTCCAGACCAGAATGATCCCATAAAGCCCGCGCCACTGGACAGTCGAGGAAAAGATGCTCCAAGGTCTCCGATGCCTCCCAGCAAACCGGGCAGTGCGGAAGTACAGGGACACTCCTTTCAATGAGTCCCTCAGTGGTAGGCAGTACCCGGTGAAAAATTTGCCAAAGGAACACCTTTAACTTTGGGGGGATCTTAGCATCCCAGAGCCAAATCCAACTGCCTCTATCCATCCAACTGGCCGTAGCCTTCCAACAACCATCCCTCCGAGCCAAGTCAACCGCCAAATGATAAGCCGATTTGACAGTGAAAACGCCATCCGAAGTACCATGCCAGATCAGTTTATCCACCATATTCCGACGGGGAAGAGGAATAGCTTGTATCTTGCGGCAAATAGCCGGGTCAAACCATTGACCTAACTTAGCGACACACCAACCCCTCTCCCCATCCTCCCCTCCCTGAACCATAACCTCTGCCACCACCGGGTCACCCCCCGAAGGGAGCACCTGCGGATTATATGTGGGCTTCTCAGGATGCAAATGAGGGATCCAGTTTGAGAACAACAACGAAGCCGACTCCCCATTACCAATCTGCCAACGTAGCCCCTGCTCAAGCAACTCACGCCCATGAAGAATGCTCTGCCATCCCCAGGAAGGTCGCGAGCGAGCACGAGCTTGGAGAAAAGACCCCGTCGGGAAGTATTTGCCTTTATACACTTGGGCTAGTAAAGACTGTGGGTCCTGGAGAATACGCCACCCAATTTTCGCCAGCATAGCCTGGTTAACATGCTCAAAACGCCTGAACCCCATCCCCCCATCATGCTTACTTTTGCACATATGCCGCCAGGAAATCCAGTGGATCCGGGGCTGACCCTCAGCCACACCCCACCAGAACCGGGCGACATGCTTATCCAGTAGCCTGCAGAGGGACAGAGGCATCTTAAAACATCCCATAGCATGAAGCGGTAAAGCAAGGGCAACGGACTTAATCAGCGTTTCTTTCGCTGCCAAAGACAAAGTACGTTGCTTCCAACCTTGTAACTTTTCCAGCAACTTTTCCTCCAGGTATCGGAAGGTAGCCATCTTTGATCGGGCTATGAGGGTCGGGAGTCCCAAGTATTTGTCCTGGACCCCTACCGCACCCACCCCCAAAATCGCAGCTAGAAACTCCTGGTCAGCAAGGACTATATTCTTGCTAAAACAAACCGCTGACTTATCCAAATTCACACGTTGGCCACTGAGCTCCTCATACTCATTAAGTACTTCGATCAGATTCTCACATTCCTGAAGAGTCCCTCTCAGGAATAAGTAAGAATCATCAGCAAAGAATAAGTGAGCGATGCGAGGAGCTCTAGGGGCCACCTTCACTCCCCCCAATCTCTTCTCAGCAATAGCCTTCCGAAGAAGCGCCGCAAAGCCTTCTGTACAAAGCACAAACAGAAGGGGCGAAAGAGGATCCCCTTGGCGAAGTCCTCGAGTGGGCCTGAAATACCCTGATGGGGTTCCATTCATTAAGACCGAAAACGATGTCGATCTCAGACACTCCTTAATCCACCCTATCCAGACCGAATTGAAACCCATTTTTTCAAGGACGGCAAGTAAGAAGGGCCATTCAACTCTATCATAGGCCTTTTCCATATCAACCTTCAGAGCCATGTACCCTTGCTTACCTCGCGTCTTGATTTTCAAATAATGCATCAATTCATGTCCAATCAGGATGTTCTCAATAATTTGTCTTTCTCGAATGAACGCATTTTGTCCTTCAGAAACAATACCTGGGAGGATATCAGCAAGCCGAGCCGCCATGATTTTAGTAATTATTTTGTATACAAATTGGCATAAGCTAATAGGCCGCAATTGTCGAATACTTTCCACATTATCCACCTTTGGAATCAGGGTTAACCAGGTGTGATTGAAACTGCCTAGCATTCGACTTGTTCCAAAGAAGGAGCGAACCGCTTCAACGACCGACTCGCCTACAATATCCCAGTAGGATTTGAAAAACTTCCCCGTAAAACCATCAGATCCAGGAGCCTGTTTGGACCCCATAGAAAAAACCGTCTGCCTAATCTCTTGAGGGAGAACCTCCGCCGTGAGCATCTCATTCATCTCTTGGGTGACCCTACAATCAATAGGTAGCCCCTCCACTCTTTCCGCCATGTTCATCACCTGATTTTCCGAGGTAAAGAGGTTTCGATAAAAATGGCAGGCGATATCAGCTTTTCCTTTCTCATCAGAAATCCACTCCCCATTATCATTATATAGGCCAGCCATAAAATTCCTTTTTCGTCGCGCTCTAGTGACTGTGTGGAAATAAGAGGTGTTTTTGTCACCTTTTTTAAGCCAATGAACCCTTGATTTCTGTTGCCAGTAGATCTCCTCCGCCTCCCATTGACGGTTCAACTCTAGTTCAAGGGTTTTGACCTCGTTCCAGTCAATGGGGTGGTTCGATTTAACATGCTCAATCTCTACTTGGAGCGTCTTTATGTTACGTAGCGAATTGGTGGTCCCAGCCCGACTCCAATCATAGAGAAGATGCCTCAAACTCTTAAGCTTTTCCCAGAGCTGATACATCGGAGTCCCAGAAATTTGCTCATCCCACACATACCTAACCATTGCCCGTACTTCCGGATTGGATGCCCATCGGGCGTCAAACCTGAACAGGGGTCGACTTTGTCGAACAAAAGGTTTATCAGCCAGCAGCAGAGCCCGGTGGTCTGAACCAAGGTCAGTGCAATGTTTAACAAGGGTATCTGGGAAACGCTCTATCCATTGTTGGGAGCAAAGAGCCCTATCCAGCCGTTCACGAATACAAGCATTGCCAATGCGCTTATTCGTCCAAGTGAACGTGTCTCCTTGGTACCCAGGGTCATGGAGACCAAAATCATCAATGAAGTCCCGAAGACTGATCGAGTGAGCATTATTCCAAGCATTGCCTCCATCTTTTTCATGAGCGTGCAGGGTGGTATTGAAGTCACCAATAACCACGAAAGGGAGGTGGATATCGGCACAGACATCCCGAAGATGCAGTAATTGGCTAGCTCGAATAGCAGGGTTACAACTAATATAAACACAAACAACAACGTAAGAAAACGCCATTTCATTAACTTCAACACCAATACAAAAATCCGACTGGAAAAACACCGAAGCCGTAACTTCGGGGGACCACGCAACAACTAGACCACCTGATGCTTCAATCGCATCTACAAAGAAAGTGTGCAAAGACTCAAAACCTAAACCACGAAGACGACGAGAGACTACTTTCCGGCGAGCTCTTGTTTCTGAGAAGAATACAATGTCCGGTTTATTTGACTGAACTAAACTTAAAGCAGAACGGAATGTGAGGGTTGGTCCAATGCCTCTCACATTCCAAGCCAGAATCTTCATTTATCCTGCTGGGACCACTTTAGGCTGGTTTCCTCCACCGTAGCAGCAAAATCCCTGTCTTCCACAAACTGGCGTTTCGGCGTAGGGGGATCACAATCATCCCCATCCGCCTTCTGAAACGCCCTCTTCTTCTCACTATTATGCAGAGCCTCAT